GAAGAGCCGGGTGCATCTCGCCGTCAAAGTTCACCTGCCGCAGCCTGACCGCCTTCACGCTGCTCCGCTTCCGGAAGGATGTGCTGTCGATGAGCGCCACGGAGAAGCACGACATGTACGTGAAGTACAAGGATGCTTTGAGGGCGAGGCTGCTAGGCCACTTCGACAGCAACCCCGGGCGGAAGTTCTGGCCATTGTGTGGAAGCTCACCACACCCAGCTGCCTGCCACGGGAGTGGCTGCAGTGCTCTGGGGTCAGCTGGGAAGCTGCGCCTGCCGCTGTGCAGGGGCCCAAGGAGTCGGAGATCCGGTGCTTTGGCTTGACCATCGCGTGTAGAGATACACACAAAGATCTCCAGCAAGCTGGCCGGAAGGCCGACGCTTGCGACTCCGGGGCAAGCGGCAGGGACGTCGCGGCGGTCGTGGGCTTGCTGGAAAGGCTGCTTCAGACTTCCCAGACACTGCAGCATCTGCAGCAGCCTGTGTCCATTCTGGGAGGGTTGCAGCGGCAGCTGACTCAAGCGGAAAGCCTCCCCGCCCTGACGCTGCCGCAAGTGCAGACACCCCAGCCGGAAAGCCTCCCCTTGCTCGCGCTGCCCCCGGCTGAAGCAGAGCAGACGGCCAGAGCGCCAGCCTCACCGCAGCTCGGCACGTTAAGCCTTCCTGAGTTGAAGCCCGCAGCAGCCGAGTCCACCTCAAGCTCGGGCTGTGCTCTTGTGGCAAAAACCTCGGCAAACGACCTGAGCCTTCACAGTGCCCAGACTTCTTCCAGCCCGGCTTCGACTAACGAGGGCAACCCTGCGCTGGCCTCCCTGGACGCTTTCACCAAGAAGTTCGAGCAGAAGAACGAGGTGCAGACCGACAAGGAAAAGACGGAACCAGAGCAGGCGGCCAAACCAAAGGCCAAAGCACAGGCCAAGGCCGTTGCGAAGCCCAAGGCCGCTGCGAAGGCCAAGGCCGCAGCGAAGGCGAAAGCCCAAGCGAAGGCCAAAGCCGGAAAAACTGAGGCTGCTAAGGAGGGCTTGCGGAAGCAGCAGGGCAAGAAGAAGGAGGACCTGCTGGCCTTGCGGAAGCAGCTGCTCGCCAAGACCAAGGTCGACCAAGGGCTCGTCCGCAAGTTCAGCGATGCCCTTGTGCACGCTGTCCTGCTGGCAGTCGAGAGGGTTCAACCCTTCCAAGAAGGCCTGGAAGAACCTCACTGCCGGACCTGCTGGAAAGCAGTGAGACAGTGAGATGGCGGAAGTCTGCCGGCCATCTGAAAGATGGCGACAACCTAATCCGTCAATCCTCTGCAGGAGCTAGTACCATTATACGGAATGTAGGGCTTTTGTTCCTTTGTGTTCGTTTTCGAACATCACCTACATATCCGTAGCAGTCATCTATTTTGTCCGTGTGCAGTGTACAGCTTTAACAATGCACGACCCCGCACGCTTCTTACGCAGAAGCATGTCATCCGAAACGATCACAGAGCTGGAGCACATCCTGCATGCTTGGCAGGATTTGAAGGAATAAAAAGTTCTATTGCAGCAGTGTCGTCCTGGAGCGGAGCCACTTGCAAGAGCTGCACATTCGCACAAGAACCGCAGCTTCGCTCCCTGCTGGAAAGTAGCCCCCCCTCCGTCCGCCTGCTCTGCCATGACGGACTCGGAAAGCTCCAGCTCGTCCCTGTTCGAACTCCTGGAGGAGGCGGAACAGGAGGCGGAAGCTTCCGAGCCTACTCACGGTCAACGCCTCTCGGCTCGCTGCTTCCTTCGCGCCCCTCATCAACGACTTGCTGCAAGTCCAAGCCTCGTTTTTGGTTGGGGACACCAACCTTGGTGAGGCAGATGCACAGAAGCTGCGGGAATACCTTGCTTTGGGTCGGGAGGTCCTTGCGGAAGCAGAGGAGGAAGTCGCAAACTTCTCTCCGAAGCTCTGGTGGGGCAAAGGGCTGGAAGGCCGAAGAGGGGTGAGAGCCGCCGAAGACATGCACGAGAAGGTGAGGCTTTCGGAAGAAATCCGAGCCTGGTTGACCGAAGTGCACAGGGAGCGTGCGCGCCAAATGCGCTACGAGGACCTCCAAGCCAGAGCCCGGGCTAAGAGAGCAAGGGTGGATCGTTGAGAGACTCCTAGCGTAAGCGCGGCAGCTATATTCTGTGCGCGTCAATCAAGAGCAAGTGCGGTGGATGTGTTGGCGCATGCGTGAAAACATTCCATCACCAATGACAGACCTTGGGCTCTAAGACTCTCAAGCGTAAGCTCCTTCCTTCCTGCCTTCTTCTTGGAAAAGATCCGCCATGGCCGGCGGAAGCCCGATGGAGCTGCTGGAGCGCCTGCGCGAAAGCGCCACCGCGGTTACCGTTGCGGCGGACGTCATAAGCCCGAAGAAGCAGGAGGAGGTCGCCGCTCCTCCAGCCCCGCCGTCGTCAGAGCGACAGACTGCGGAAGCAGCGGCGAAAGAAGCAGCGGCGACAGCCATGGAGACAGCCATGGCAGAGGCGGAAGCCACGGCAGCAGCGGAAGCCGCCGAGGAGGACCGGGCCATGAGGGCCCGCTTTCCGCCCGAGTCCTTTGAGACGCCAGACGACCGGCCCACCAGGCGGGTGCGTCGCAAACTGAGTGAAGCCCCGAAGAAGAAGCCGGCGGCAGCCGAGGAGCTCGAGTGAATAAAAACACGCGGCCCATTGCAAGTTTTTGCACATTAAGGCTCAAGGTTTGCAAGGTCTACAAGGTTCACTTTTTGTAGGGTTTATGTGAAGGGTTTAAGGGTTCAGGGGTTTCAGGGTTTATAAGGGCTTTAAGGGTTTAAGGTTAGGGGGTTAATGCGACTATATTTTATATACGGTGAATACAGTCGTATATATATATATATATAATATATATATATATATATATATATATAATATATATATATATATATACGACTATATGTCATGCTGTGATTTTCTTTATATAGTGACGGCCGGAAGGCTTGCCCGGGTCGCATCGCATATTGCTCAGCACATTCCGCTATGAAGCGAAAGAGGCCGGGAGGCCGCAGATCAAGCGTTGCATTCATGGCCGGAAGGCCAAGCCGGGAGGCCGTAGTTTCGGAGCACACATTTGTCAGCGTGCATGTTTTGCAAGGGCGTCGCAGCTTTCTTGTGACACGCACATGTCATGATGGCGAATCTCAATATCCGTGCCGCTCCATCTCAAGGTAGGGAGAAAGCAAACACAGCAGCAACACGAACACGTCTTAAGTTCGAGACGTCACGGCCTTAAGGTTTCACTTCACTGTTTCAAGGTTGAACGCTATAGTATAGGGTTTATATATAGGCTCATATATGTAGGGCTAAGCTTTGTGTAAGGGTTGAACCCTGACTCTTCTCAACTTTAGAAGAAAAAGCTGAACTCCCGACAAACGTAAACTTGCGCAGTTCTGCAACTCCGGCACAGTGGTTCTAGGACCCCAGGTCCTCTTAACCTTGCGTAGTCCTGGACTCTAGGTCCGCTCGTAGCCTGTAGCTGCGTCCGTCGTCGAGCTGCCGCCAAAAGACCACTACTACTACTACGACTACTACTACTACTACTACTACTACTACTACTACTACTAACAACAACTACTACTACTACTACTACTACTACTACTACTACTACTACTACTACTACTACCTCGCGGGAAGGCGGCAGCTCGCGACGCTCGCGAAGCCATGGCTCACCGTCCGGAAGAGGCCACCGACCGGTGCCTCTTAAGGTTCGTTTGGTTGCAGGACCCGGAAGGGCTTGACTACGCAGCCTGGAGGAAGAAACTTGCCCAGGACTGGGCGGAGCACCAAGACCGGCAGAGTGATGCCAGGGATTGGTGGAAAGACCCGGAAGGGCGCTGGTGGAAGGAATGGTCGCCTTCGGACCTTGTGCCCTCGCACGCAAAGCGAGAGTCTTGGAAGAGCCAGAAGTGGTGGTGCTACTACAGAGCTTTGGCTGCATTCATTTCAAAACCGGAAGGTTTAAGACCGGAAGGTCATACACCCAAAGCTCCTGATTTTGTTGTCCCTGCAAGGTCCGCTGATGTCAGAGCAGCCACCGCCGGAAGGCGGTGCTTCTGCAAGCCGGAAGGCTGTAGTTCTGCTTGGTGTGAGTTGTGCAGTCGGTTCCACCAGCAACGCCCGCGGGAGCCGGCCCCTCCACGGCCGCAGGCGATTGCACTTTAGTATTATATATATATATATACTGAAGTATATATACCTCTATTTTTCGGCGCAGGGCCAAAGGCGGCGGAAGCTGCAGCTCCTCCGCCAGCCGTTGCAGCTGCAGGCAGGGTCGAAGAACTTTGGCCGGAAAAAATGTTGATCCATCCGATACAGGGCCGCCTCCACCGCCGCCGGGTCCTCCTCCGCCAGAGAACAGACCGGGAGGCGCCAAACCCACAACCTGAGACACCAGACACCAGATGTGCTTCAAACATCTGTCAGGTGCTGCATGGCTCGGAAGCAGCCCGCCGCCCCTCACAGGTGACGGCTCAGAGGGCTTAGCGGTGTGTTTCTTGAGAGGCTTGCAAGCCGGAAGGCTTGGCCGGAAGGCCCCGCCGGAAGGCGCGAAAAAACATAATCATTGCACGCAGGCCCGCCTGAGAAGTCACCGCCAGCGACACCTGCTGCTGAAGGCAGGGAGTTGGTTGCAATGTTCTGAATCTTAAAGCTATGCGGTGGGTCAGGTCCCGTGGGCAAGAAGGCCAGGCCCACTACGGTGGGAGGCTGGAAAGCCTGATCTTGTAGTGTAAACAAGTGACATGCCCCAAAAAAACAACTTCTTGCAGATGCCGCGCCATCGTCAGCTCCGGTCGTGAGGCCGCCGCCTCCGAATGTCAGAGAGATGGACGGTGGCTTGGATGCACATCAAGCCGGAACGTCCAGACCGGAAGGTCAACCTCAGACCGGAAGGTCTCATATATGTGACTGCCCTGCCAGAAGCCGAAGAGCTGGAGGAACGCCAGGCAGCTCTAGGCACGATGCTGTCGCATGCCGCTGCTTTCGGAAATTTTAGATTATATATATATATATATATATGCAGGTGAGACTGGCTGGGAAGCCGCCGCCCGTTACGCTCAGATGTACGCAGGCCAGATCCGTAATTGTTTTTTGCACCTTTCCGGGAAGCCTTATAATAATTCCATGCATGCATGCCAGGTGAAGAAGAACTGGCGATCGAACGGGCGGCGGTGGAGGCCGCGGCGGAAGCTGCGGCAGCAGCAGAGCAGATGCTCAAGAGATTCGAGCAGCTCCAAGACATGCGACACCTCGCAACAAAGCGGCGCCGCACACTCATGCAGGCCGCAATGGCGGAAGCCGCAGACGCAGAGGCGGCGGAAGCTGTCGAGGGCCGGAAGGCCGATGTATTGCTTGCTTGTCCCGCCAGGAGGCCGCTTTGAGATTGGCCTTCGGCGGGGACTCAACAACCCCAGCCCGCAAACCCCCATGCACGAAGCTTGCACAGGAGACTGCGGATGCGGAAATGGCCGAGGCGGACGCGGAGGCAGGGAGGATCATGCCGTGAAAAGACCGGAAGGTCTAGCCAATCACACATGCAGGCTGCTGCGGCGGAAGCTGCTCATGCTGAGCGGCGGGATGCTCGCCTGGCCGAGCTCCGTGTGGAGCAGGAGGACGAGCACCTCAGACCGGAAGGTCCATACAAACCCTTTCCTTGCATGCAGGAGAACCAGCGGTTGCACTTTCGGTTGGCCCACCAGCAGCTGGAGATCAAGCAGGCAAGAGCCCCTCAAACCCAAGACTCTTAAGAAACCCTAAACCCTAAACCCTAAACCCGGATCCTCAGCCTGGCCAGGAGAGGCTCCAAGAGGAGCCGCTGGAAGTGCAGCGCTTGGCGATCATCAACTCCGAGCAGGAGGACACTTTTTATCGGACCGGAAGGTCATGCCGGGAGGCACAAAACCCCATTGACCGGAAGGTCGACCGGAAGGCAACCAACAAACCAAATCCCGTGCAGGAAGCCTCCGCGTTCGGGCGGGAGCTCCACACCCACCGCTCGGGATGTTCAGGGTTTATAGGGTTTGGTGTATATGTATATATGTATGTAGCTTTTTGGAGAAAAATCAGCAATGGGAGGTTGAAGGTTTCGGTGTTTATAGGATTTAAGATAGATTCCTGCGGTTGGGGAATTCCAAACCACCACCA